ATGCGGCTTTTAGCTTTTCACTCCTAGTCATGCTTCTTTAGTCTTTAGCTTCAGCACCTGGTCTCGTCAAACTTTACATCTATTTCTATTTCTTTAGTTTGTTTTATTTTCCGTTGAGAGTTTCGTGTTCTGAGTTAAGCCGAACGCCGCATCTCCGAAGAGTGCTGTCTAATCTTCAACTGCAGACCACAGCTCCGCGTCGCCAGTCAACGCCCAATCACTGGCTTCCCAAGACTGAACCTCCAGCCAATCAGCAACCTCGGGAAACCCCTTTCAGCAGACAAGGAAGGGAACCCCCGACACAGAAACGCAAGTACCTCCAGAGAGCTGAACTGGTGCATTTAATCTCAATTTTAACCTCATTGAGGAACTCAGTGCGAGGGTTAATTAAGTGATTGATGGTTGTTCAGATCTATACAATGGCACATATTGCTGTAAACTTGGGATTTCACATTTTCATTCTCTTTAATTATTTCCTCTCTCTTTCTGAAAACTTGTGTGAATGCGTGTGTTCATGTGTTAGATTAGTTTATATGTCTTAGATTTATCCAATAAAGCCTTATTTATATGGAAAAGAGAAGTATCTTGTGTTTTGTGCTCACAAGTTAATGTCTTAAACTGCCGATCTTGTTACTATGCTAATTAATAGTGTTTTCACTATATTTTGGATATAGATATCCATTGCAGAATTGTTGTCATACGGCTCGTTCACTGACTCGCTGGCCGTCTCAGTGATCAACCGTAAAACAGTGATTCTGTCCTAATTCCCTTGCATATTAATGGTGGAGTTCCCTTTAAAATCTTAAATGATTCCCTTTGAGCTAAATTATTATCACTGTTTCCCTTACACCTACTACAAAATGATTACTGAAAAGGCTATTTTGATCATCAAAAAGAAGATATCACTGAACTGGGCTTTTGAACTGGCATTACAAATGGCTATCTCTTGGGGGTCCTAGAGAAAGAGAATTCTGTGGGAGGATACGATTTTGCATGACATCGAAATGGAGCGATGTGAAAATACAGAACATGAAGTGTTCCAAGCAAGTGAAGATGAAGAAAAACTGGTTATTAGGTGAGTTTAGTTTATGCTTGCCAAGCAAAATTGCTACTTTCTATTTCTAATTAATAAAGTAATAAATAATGCAAATAACATCCATAATATGTGGATGATCCAGTCAGAATTTAGACTCAAAACTATACGTTTTTAAAATTTACTTTTACTTTTTTGATAAATACAAAGAGAAAAGAATCAGTCATTTGTAAATCTTAAATTTAGTAGATTATCCAGGATTGCTTTAACATCATATAGCGTTCTGGTTATATTAGCCACACCTCACCCAAACTCAGTTTTGGACACCATTCATATTCACATGTATGCGGTTATTCTGCAAAATGAGCTCAGCTGGTAAAAGAGAGTTAACTGAGAGCTCTTGGGAGAAAGGGACAGCAGAAAGAGTGCAGAATCATACTTCACCTCATTGATTTTTTCGATCGGTTTAAATGAGGAGCACTTTAGGCCAAGAGCTCACCACTGAGCCTTCAGTCCTCTGCTGGGTTAACTGAGCACCACACTGCCATGCTACACATAATTACAGCACACACTCTCACACCAGCTGAGATGTGCTCCGCTATCTTATGATTACATAATAATCTGTTCTTTTTACAGTTTCTAGAGCTAGGACACAACGTATAAATTAAGTCTTTTAAAGGCTGACTTTTTAAAATCATATCATAGAAGCTTCAAGTAAGATAACAAGGAACTCTGAATAAAAATCCAAACTCAAGTTTATATAAATGTGTTTTGTCTTGCTAAACTAATAAAAAAATTATAATACAAAATGTTTATTATACATTTAATAATAAGATTGCTTTTTTAATTTAGCATTTAAACTATCTAAGTCATTGTTGTAGTTGTTGTTGCTTTTTACAATCAACTCACACTTCACTCACTTTATTGGCAGCATATTCATCACATGTCATTTAGTAACAAATGACTTCTTAAAGCAAATATTGATTGAGACAACTCCATTGTCATACTGTTTACCTACCTGCCAATAAGCTATGCACCTCTGAGAGGCTCATCTATATTGTACTTATTTGCAGTATATCTGACATCTTGATCATTCCATTATAATACATCTGACATTTGTTGTCCCTGCACCTCGCTGTGTGAAATATAGATGTTCTATATTCTCCACGATTTGTGTAATCTACACCTATTATCTTACACACTACAGGGTTGCTATAAAATAGAAGAGATGATTTTAAAGCTAACATACACCAGCACACCTGCTCGCAGACAGACACCACATGCACCGTACATGCCAAGAAAAATAATAATCCATTCTGTGATTTATTATATATGGTTGTGTGTGCATGCAAACTTTAAAAATTAAACTGGTTACTCGTCAGTACAGTCAAATATATAAACTAGTCTAGAGCTAATTAATCATGTTAGCAAAACTGTTTGTGTGACATTCAATACGATTATATACAATTGTCCGGTTTAGTGTTTTTATTTATTTATTTTGGCTACTATTACAATATCATCAAACATCAGAATTGCTGTCTAATATCCTACTTATCCAGACAGTGTAGATGCAAATAGCTCAAGCTAGTATCTTTTGTGTTTCAGGGAGGAGAAATAAGGCATGTGACACGCACACACATGCTGCATCACAAAGCAGAGTAAATCACCAGAGTAACAGCAGCACAATGACTGGTTTGTGTTTTCTCGTTGATTGAATGATAACAAAGTGTACGAGTTACAAGCATATCCTCATTTAACGACCCATTGGAGAGAGAGAGAAAGGTAGGAACGAGTGGTAGGGCCCGGAGAACAGCTTGGCTCACCTCATTAAAAGCCTGTTGACGCCTTGTAAATTTTCGAGGAGCACGGGCTGGTAAAAACCAGCCGCCAAACTTCCTCATAAGAGAAGAGGAGGGATCCAGTCCCCACCCATCAGGACCGAACGATGGGCGAGAGGAAGAACAGGCATCTGAGGAGAAGAAAGAGACGCAAACAGAGATAGAGACAAAAAGAGAGCTAGAGATAAGAGGGAAGCACCCAGACATACAGTACACAAGCCAACGATAAATAACAGACATATAAATTGCCTCGTTTTCTTGTTTTGGGTGATGTCGATTTAGCTGCTAATTGGTGACAGAAACTGTCAAACGGGTGGCAGCTAGTGATTGCAGTGGCTTCTGTCAGGATTAGGTGAGAGGAAAAGGGGAAAAAATGCTTTTTATCTGAAGAGAGAATGAGAGATATGCTGGCAGCTTCCTCCCATCTCCTCCCGTTGTCTGATATTTACCCAAAACACATTAAAAACACAAGGCAAAGAGAGCAAAAGAAACAATAAGCTTGGCATTATAGGCCCCAGTTCTCTTGCTGTCTCTCAGACTGATCAGTGTGTTTGTTTGTAGAATCTTTGTTTGTTTGCTTTCAGGAAGGAACTGAACACACAAACACCCGTGTTAACCTATTCAGAGTAAGAGAGGGAGAAAGAGAGCAAGAGAGAGAGATAAAAGGCTGACTGACTGATCTCCTGGGGCCGTCTCCTCCATACCCTGCCTTGACTCCCCCTCTGTCCTGGGGAATATTGAGATGAGCAGTAATTAGGCTTTGATACTCTGGCAAATGAACTGTAATTAGAGGCTGCGAGTGAGGCTCCTCTGTCTGAGCTGCTCATCCAATATTCACATCATTATTGAACATTAGGATTAGCTCTCTTCCATGCACAAATAGCATGGCACAAACACTGCCCGCGCAGATGGCGACGGGGGGGTGGCCGCCGGTGACACTGGCGTGTGTTTGCGCAGAACGTGTGGATATAAGTCAGATCTGTGTAAGTATTGCGCGATACAGTATATCTAGAGGAGCGAGAGCGTATGTGTGTGGGATGTAGAGATAGGTCACCCATGTCTGGCCGTCTCTCAGAGGGGATTTTCTGGTTATTAGAGCAGCGCCAGATCATGGGCCAATTATACAGAAAACTGTCAGTCAAGATTGTGTGGCTACGTGATTAGAGCAAAAGGACAAAATCAGGTGAGGAGTGTGAATCTATCCGGGGCAGCTTTGATTTGCTAATGAGGGGAAGAGGGGAGAGGACCGGGGCCACCGTCCCCAGCTGTAGCCCTGCTTGCCTGCCTTCATTTTCGCTTTGACCTTCTTAGCGGATGCTGCTTTTGATGCAGGAGAGACACAAAGAGAGGGAAAACTAGAGAATGCTGGGCGACTCTCTCTTTTCGGGAGTGGCGGGACCCCAGCCCTCAATGGTGCGCACTTGGGTCATGGTTCGTAAATGAGACCGATGCACCCTGCTAGCACCAAGAGGGCCAACAGTAATCAAAGTCAAGGCCCTCTCTATTACAGCACGGGCCAAAGGTTCCTTAATTACCCTTAATAGCTTTAAACATGCTAGTTCCATCCCACTACCCCCTCACATATTGCTAAAACACACCCACGAGTGGAGAGGAGGAGTTTAAAGGACAAGAGGAAGGAGGGACGGTGTATCAGCCATCTTCTCCCAGAATACTTCTTGCCCTGACTAGTCCTCTCATTTTCAAAAAGGAAGAGCTGAATGTGGCTCCTAATTTAGTGGCTACTGTTCGGGGGGCTGACACCGAGAGGCGTGGTGCGGGGGTCTTTGTCAGCTCAGCCTGGCAGCGGTGGCACCATCAATGGTCCACAGGGCAGTTAAGGTAGCGGAGGAGAAGAGGATGGT